GGAACTTGGCATTGACCATGGACTGACAGCCGAGGCACCTGTGCATGCTCAAATATTTGCTTTAGGTAAATATCATATCTTACCGTACCCAAACCCCAAGCTAGTTTTTACTTCTGGAAAACAGAGGGAAACTTGTCTGTAGAGAAAACCATCACCAGCTGCATTGTGGAGATATTGAAGGAAAGAATCCCTGTGTAAACCAAGCCTACTTTAATCTCCCTCTTCGGCCCCATCAAAGGGAATGACAAAAACCCTTAATTTGCTTATACTTGATTTAAACCATGAGACAATGGTATTTTGTGGAGGGAAATGTAGTAATCCTGCACTGGTGGATTGAATTATGGCAAATCAAACAAGTATTACTGTTTAATGTATCTTTAGTGGGGCAGGTCTCCTTGTGGTGACCAAAAAATCCCAGAAATATTCTGGTTCTTTCCTGTTCCACCATCGTCTGCAACAAATCATAATTTTACAAAGTCCCTATATTGTTTCCTTTTATGTTTTCTTTTGACATTAAGATAGCTTATTTTCAGCCTCCATCAAATTGTTATAACAAAATTACATCATGACATATCCAAATCCCACAACATCAACTATGGGTTACTTTTGTCCCAAGGTCAAAAGCTCCTGTCTCCATTTATGTCTATGTTTCAAATCTAGCTAGTGCTATACAGGGAAAACTGTGGTTGTCACTGTTTTTGCTCTTACCTGTATTACTAAGGCTCTCAATGTCACTTACAGTCAGGAGGACAGGAAGATTATACATATTATTATCAATCCAATATTTAATAAAATGATCTGTACAAAAAAATCTAGGTGAACAGAAAATGAGGATAAAAAGTGTGCTTATTTTTAAAATATATACTACTATAAAATATTTCCAAAAGAGAAAAGAGCTGTTTACAGTTCATTTACAATTACATTATTTACAGACCTTTATAACCCATAGAATACATACATACACACAGTGTATTTTACATGAACACATGTAGAACTAATGGCCGTCTAACGGTTAAATCTCAAACATTTCCCTTCTCAACAAAACATGACATGTTTTTCCTAAGCTTAACCAAGCTTTTACTTGTACTATAATCCTCATACATAAGCATACATGACTTTCATACAATTTGTGTTTGTGAACTTCATATGGGTTTTTGCCAGAAAGCAAATGCTCTCTTATTCAAAAACATCCACTTAATAAATGTGGAAAGGAGTGAAAGGGAAGGGAAAGGCTACCTTTTTCTTAATGTCCCTTTCAAAGTATGAGGAAGACACCATATTTGAATAGGGGAAATACACATTGCATAGATGTTGTTAAGTACTAGGCATTTCATATCAGAATCTCACTTCAATAATGAATAAATGCGCTTACAAAAAAAGGATGTTGTCAGTGTTAACAGATACTAACTTTAACATTGCCTAGATCAAGCTGCAACTGATGATATGGTTAAATTAGAATTAAGCATGCAGATCTCGAGACAGAATGCTTTCATACATTCACAGCAACACTTTGTACTCGTGAAGCATCCATGAGTCTCGAAACAACATCCATCCTAACCATTGCACAGCTTTCACCTTTTGTTGCCTAAGGCTTAGAGGCATTTTCCCCCACTGATTTACACAACACTCCACACACTCAAAGCACATCCCAACATGTGTCCATTGTTCTTGGCAAAATTGCTCAAGCTTTGCCAAGTTGAATGGGGATCGTTGATTTACACCAAATTCTGTCTTGCCACAGATTTTCAAGCAGATTTAAGTTTAGTCACAGTCACAAAATGTGCAACTAAATGTGACAACTGTGCAGGGGGTGAATACTATTTAAAGACAATGGACATGCTTGCTGAAGTAAACATGCAATGAAGTATGGAACGGTCCAATCACTGCCTTGTCCTGACATTTTCATGAAAATGTGTTTGGCATGATGATTCACAAAGCAACAGAAAAAAGCAATTGTACAAAGTAGTTGTACTAGGACACTCATACAAACAAAGCAGAAAAATATACATGTATCTGATATCAAGGCACAGCATACCAGAGGAGCTACTCTCTGGACTACATTAGCTTTTGGGGTTTATTTTCTGCCTGACACTTTTGTTTTATTATCCTTTACCATATTGATGTAATTTAGATAAAGTGTATACACGTTAATCAAGAAGATTCTATGGTAACTGTTTTCCACTGAGCAGAATGCCACTGCAGTTGAAAATATCTTCAAAAAGGAGGGTAACTGTGACTATCAGTGAAAATAGTAACCACTTTTCTTAGAAAATGTGTGCAAAAGGGGAGTTTACAGGAAGTTATATCATTACGCCCCCTTTTAATTTGATCAATGTTTAAATTGTATTAAACATTTATAGAAATTCTTGCAAATTGATGGAAACTTTGCTATTGTTCAATGTCTGTTAGGTGATATCAATTATGTTGGGGGAGCTGCATTATCTGCCCCCTGAAAATTGTGCCACTGAATTTCCTCTGCTGTTTGAAAATAAACCACAAGCAGAGATTTTCTTGCGGTCGGTTTGTTTTTGAGCATAGTCCTTAGTTCAAAATGCCAATATAGTCCGTTTAGCTGGATTTTGTTTTAATTCATAAAGAACCAAATCAGTTGAACATAATCGTGAAAGAAAACTGTAAAAAATATATATATCTGGTTTGGATTTTTAAAATGTGTAACAAAATGCAAGAAAGCTGCTTTGGATTTTGATTAGAAAGTAAATTAAATATTTTAACAAACAGAATTCCAAACAAAAGCAGCAAACGCTCAAATATGATATTAGTATATTACATTTGACTCGCATATTTTATATCAGTACAAATACTCCACATACATAGAAACACAGTCTGTAGTCATAAATTATCACCTATTTGCCTTTTGTGCAAAAATATGGGAATATATCTACTTCAAAAAATGAAACTATAGATCTGGATACACCAGGCTAGGGTCAACTATAGATCTGGATACACCAGGCTAGGGTCAACTATAGATCTGGATACACCAGGCTAGGGTCAACGCAGAATGGTTTGGTCATCTCAAATTCAATTAAAAAAATTGAGTTTGACTGGAATGATAGGAAATATAATTTAATTTAAACTGAGACTTGGTGATATGACGTTACTACAAACAGCGTTGCAACCAAAGCATTCACGAGATAGTTTGAAGCAAAAGGCTTTTACCAAAACTATGAAACATCTGCACAAGAGTTCTCTCCTGGAGACATCACATATGACCTGTGCCTAGTTTACACTTTGCAAGTGGTTTTGTTTCCTATGTCTTGAGTGTGCATATTTATTTACCTTGTGTTAATGTGATTCATCTGGGATATGTGAAATAATATACAGTGGGGAATTTACACGTAATTACCACCTTTGAAAAGCAGGAGTTAACTTACATCTTGCCGTGATACCTATGTTTGGCATGACAATGAACAAACACGGCAGGGAAGAGTTGGCTAAAGCACAAACATACCTGGACCACCAGGCTAACATGCAAGTAGATAAAACTCACTAAGTGAAAATTACACCCAAAGACCAACACATGATCAATATTATTTTGCAAAATCATGTGCTCTTATAATTCAGTACCTGGAGTGCTAAAAAGTGAATTTCAATATTCCATTTCACTTACTAACAAGGGATTCCTATGGACATTATAGCCTATTTGTTCTGTGCCGTTTATAGGGAACTGAATCGCCATATCAATCTCAAGTGATCACGGGATCTGCTTGTTTAAGTCACATACATTACCAGCTGTAGTACAAAGCCTACCCTGCAAAACATCTCACTTTTCTCAGTTGCAAGAAATAATAAATCAGTCTTCAAGAGCCATGCCATAAAAATATCTTTCAAATTCTCCTTGTCGCCTTTCATACCTCCTGTTAAATGTTCCATATCATATACCTCGGATCTTTGCATAGTAATGAGTGCATATAAGCAAATGCATGGTGACACACAGCTATTGATGTAAGTTAGCTGTGTAAATGGGACCCTTAGCATACCCCTAACTAAAGATAACTGTTCCTCCACCTTGGGCTGATAGACAGAGGTTTCTACAGCAGATAACTCCAGAAAATGGGTGACGTTCTCTGTCCTGCTGAAAAGATGCATAACAATATCCCGATTGCTCACAATACTGACAGCAGCATTTATCTTAAAACCTGTCTTTTAACCATGTCCAAGAGATGACGGTAGTGTCTTAAGTAAGAAGTGTGTAGGCTATGTGATGCAAACTGCAAACTGCAATATACAAAAGTCATTTTCATTGTGTCCTCCCATACATTTGAAATGTTGTTTTTGGTAAGAGCAAGCAGAACGGGAGCGGTTTAGTGGACAGAAAATGTCTTACTATGTCTTGTGATAGTTAAGGATATCAAATAATTTAATAATTGACTCTATGTTATTTTGAGTTTTCCATATAGGCACACAAATGTACTCTAACGCTGTTGTCGTAACGCTAGAAATCTGGGCTTCTTTTATTCATCCCAACAGATTCTGTCTGCTGCTCAGTAAATTCAAATCTATGGCTGATGTTTTATACACTACTAAAGTAGTGTTCTAGAACCAAAGTCAGAAGCATAGCAGACATTTACTGAAGTTGACAGCATCGAACAACATGCAGAGCCATGGGGACAGAGAGAGTGAGACTAGAGAGAGCCAGAGCATGTTATGAGTAAAGAAATGATAAAGAGCTCATGAAATAAAATGGCAGCTCAATGACAAATTCTAATAAATTAAGCAGCAAATAAGATTATGTTCCCCTTAAGCAGAGGCAGATCAGTAATGAGCATACTTGTTTGTACTTTTTTCAGCAAATCCCAAAATAAAGCTAGTTTAGGGGGAAGAGATAGGGGGAGGCGTGTGTTAACAAGCGCTTTAAACCACCAATGTATTTTCCCACAAGACAATCAGACTCCTCTCTTTGCAAGCCCCAGTCCAAAATTCCAGAATGACGAGACTAGCGCCACGCAAGACTAGCACCACCACCCCTCTCTGTCGCTATGCTACCTGCAGCCACAGCTCTCCACCACCATGTCCTCATACTGCTTGTAGACCACATTGTTGCCAGAGTCAATGTAGAGGATGCTGATGGGGCTGAGTTTGGAGGGGACACAGCAGCTGGGCGGGCTGGAGTCAGGGTCCATAGAATTCATAAGTGTCTGAATGATGGCGTGATTTGTAGGCTCCAGGTGTGAGCGCAGCGGAAAGTCGCACACGCCCTCACAGTGGTGCGCCTCGTAATCTAGCGGTGCGATGATCCAGTCGTCCCAGCCCAACTCCTTGAAGTTGACGTGGAGCGGCCTACGGCTGCAGCGAGTCTTCCTGCGCCCCCCGCCTCCACCGCCCCTTCCTCCTCCCGCTCCTCCACCACCACCTCCCCCTCCTCCCCCACCAGCTCCGCCTATAGATCGGCTGGTGAGGGCAGTCCGGCGTCGGCGTCGCCTGGGTAGGTGACCAACCACATCACCAGAGAGGTCCAAAGGGTCCAGAAAACCCAAGTCTCTTCGCACTGTCTTCATCTGCTCCCTGATCTCCTTGAACAGGTTCTCTTTCCTGCGGGTGCGAGAAAAAGCCACCAGCAAGGCCCTCTCCTGGGGCTGCCGAGACCGGCGTCCCAGCCCTACTGTAAGAGGGTTGGCTGCCTCTTTGGTCAACTCCGAAACGATCAGCAGGTCAAAGCAGGCCACGAGGAGGTCGTTGCCTGCTGCTGTCCTGTGGCTCCTCCGCCGAGCCTTCACGCTGGCCCACACGTCAAAGACATCCCATTTGGGAGGCTCGCGGTCCAGAACGTCAACTCTCCTGGAGTCCAGCAGCCGTCTCCCAGAGTTCCCCTCAGAGGAACATGTGTAGAGGAGGAGGCGATAAAGGTTCCCGCCCCACGTCAGCACAGGAAGGAGATCCAGCGGTGGCTTTCTCAGGATCCTCAGTTCTGCCTCCACGAGCTCATCTGTCCTGGACAGGCTGGAGAGGTCGAAGAGATAGCGCTGGCGACTTCCCCAGGAGGCGTGATCTGTAGGGGAATAAAATACAGGCTAGTCATTTGAATCTCACACCAACACACATGCACAGTTATTAAAACACTGTTACTCAAAAAGAGGGTGGTAAACGTAAATCAAGCACTGGACGTCAGCCGACTTAAATCTCTTTGAGTGTCTGTGACCATATGTAAACAAGTATTCAACGTTTGGCACGAACTCCCCTTTGGTCAATTGCAGTGGCTTTCTAAGGTGGACAGAAAGCATGCGGCCATGAAGCATGTGTCTGTGTGTGTCCCCCTCGGTGGGAATACTGTTTGGGCCTGAATCGCCTGAGTCCACATGCAAGCAACAGAGCTGACGAAAGCTGCAGGAGCAGGCCAGGAGGAAAGCACTTGGCTGACCTCTAGGCAGGCCCAAGCCCTTGGCAGAATGCACTAATTACACTGATTGAGTGAGAGGAGGGCTTGGCGAGACACTGGAGAAATGTAAACTGAAGTGGCCTCAACTCCCTCCCTCTCTTCCTCTGTCCATATTTCTCATAGAGAGGTTGTACATTTCTGAGGAGTGGTGTTTTTAGAGATTTGAACACACCAAAGTGATGGGAATTTAATGTAGGTTTAGTTTAATGTTTGGATTTCATAACTTGCTGGGTGCACATACAGCTGTAATCCACAAAACAAACAGCAACCTGGCACTCACCTCCTGATGAGGTATCACATACATGAAAAAGAAAGACAAACAGTAGAATCTTTAAATAATTTCTATGCATCTCTGATGTCTTAGTCAAGTCCACGTCCTCCTCTCCGCTGTGAATTTAGATTGGCACGTAAAAGCTATTCACAGTATATCAGCCATACCACAGTTGCATCCATGAGATGTGGCAGGGGGGAAAGCTTGCTAAGAGGGAACAGACTGTTTCAAAAGTTTTTATGTTGACATCCAGCCCAAGCATGAGGTCCTGGGATACAGTGCAACCTGAGGACGAAACCACAGTTCCATGGTAAAACATGAAGGAACTTTCTTCTCCAATACAGATGGGTAGCATAAGAATCCAAGGCCAGATTGTGGTGTCGTGTCATCGATGCATTATTGAAGGGACCTCAAAATAAAATGTTATTGTGCACAGTGAGGCTCCTGCTGGAAAAGAACACACAAGTCTTTGGTGAGTGCAGAGGATCTGTACCCGTTGTCCCCCTGTGAGAAAGACCAGCCAGGCAGGCTTCAGTGGAATACCCAGACAATGAAAGGTGAAGGGAGCAGCACTATCCTAGCAAATATCCGCTTGCTAGACAAAACAATGACATAACCCAGACATTTCTGTAGTCTCAGTGTATAAAAGATGAAGCTGCATTCTTTTCATCCCTTCTGTGTCTACATGTACCTGAGGTGAACTCAGAGCTTTATTGGGTCAAGTGAATAGGAAATCATTGCAATATATTCAAACTCGCACGCAGGTGCACATTGACCCCCCCCCCCCCCCCCCCAGAAAAATTGGCAGAACTAAATTACATCAATAAAAAACGATAGTATTGTTGTAATACTAATCGCTGACTCTGAAACAAAAATGCAAGGAATGACTCTTCAGGGATATAAAATGATACTTCTTGTATTATTAATGCATTTAAATGAACTTGCGTTAAGACAGAAAAGATTTTCATGCCTTTTCTGGAATCTAATTTAACATTATGTTTAATTACCTGCACTTTTCTCTCCTAATTTTGTTTGATAATTAAAACAAGTTTGGAATCAATCAATCAAAAAGACTATGTAAATGAAAATAATAACACATTTCTTAACACACAACTTAACACCCAGTATAACATGTTTTGAGAGGGAGTAGATAAATAATTCCTTACCACAGGTCCCTACAAACAAAAATTGTAATAATCGTTGTTGTTGTTATTATTATAGTTTTCATTATTGCTATTGTTATAATTTATAGGTTTCAATTAACCTAAAACATTGTTATTTATATTGCATACAAATGTATTCCGAGTCCTGATTAACAAATTGCACAATGCAAAAATGCACAATAGCCCAATTGAAAACAACAGTTTTGGACATACTGTAGTTAAGGGATACGTGTGTTTTGGACATAGCTAGTTTGGTGACTTATTCTTGCAATTAAAGTTTATGGAATAGGCCTACTGAAAGAGTATATTTATTTAAACAAATATTCTGTGACAATCATTGAACACCAGTTTTAAATTACAAGTATATTTTTATCAGCAACACCTGGATTGGGGGAAAGCAGACCTTTTCGAAGTGTTTAGCTCAAGGTGCCAGTGAGGTTTATACATCACAGATGTTGGAAATCCGAGACATTTGACTTCATATTTAGTTGGAAGTATTTAGAGTATTTCCCATATAAATGTGAAACAAATGTACTATACCTTCCCAAATAATGTTTCATTTGTAACCTACATTACTTTTGACTTTTCAATAAATCATTGTTGTCGGAATGTGTAGGCCTATAGGGGCGCATTTGAAATTAATGCATTCATAAATAATGAATGCTGGAGAAGGAAATTGTCAAGAAATTCGCTGTTAGGGTATCAGTTTTATTAAGATATTGCAATTTATGTTTTTTGAATGATGAGTTGCTATTTTAATGAATTAATGTGGAGAAAAAAAGTAAATCCTATGACAGACATTTTTCAAAATATACCTAAATCACTTGTTGCATATTTCCTTTACAGTCTCGTATTTACCATATCCTTTCCAACACAGACTAGTCCACATAGGCTGAGCTATAATACAGCAATTTGCACTATAGATATTTGGATAACTGATTGATTATAGGTTAACCAATTAATCACAATTAACGTATTAAATGCAGTATAAACAGCTACTTGAATAGCCTTCAAACTCTGAATAAATGACAACCACCATGGTTAACAGTCTACCTCGAGTAGTAATAATAAGTCTAGGCTACTGATATCACTTTCACCCACCTTTTCCTTGATCCACGAAACTGGTCACGGTGTTGGCGTGACTTGCGGCGCGAGGAACACTGCTGTTAAGCCCTCTTTTCTCTATCTCAGAGAGTGTCCTGTATAGAGATACCATATAGTCATGGGGGACGATAGTATCATTTATCCGAGGCTCTTTCCTGGACACCACGGTCGGCTTTCGCCGACTCTGCTCATCCAGATGTGAAACAAGCCCGTTATCATCTGCGCTGGAGGGGTGCTGCAATGATCCAAGTACCGCTGCCTCCACAATATTCCCAAAGCACAGGGAAAACCATAGCAAAGGAGCAGCAGCCCTAATAGGATCCATTTTCAGTGGTCTATAGCTGTAAATGAGAAAGTTGGACGGGTTTGATTACTTTGGAAACTCCCCTTTGCTCTTTAGATTGTGTTAATATCATGGATTTGGCTGACACTGAGTGGCGACATTGTATTCTCTATTGCACTGTGTTCAACCAGCGCCCCTAGCGAGGAGCAACAATTGTAAACTACTTTTTAAATCAAGATGCTTGTGTCTCCCCCTCTTTCCCCAGACAAAGTCATGAGCTACTCATATTTGATAACACTTTAATAAGGTAGGTAGGTCTAGGATTTATTGAATCTATAAACTGTTAATAATTCGTAATGTAAAGTACTTAAGCAAAAATACTTTAAAGTAGTACTTAAGTAGTTTTTTGGGGTATATGTACTTTACTATTTATATTTTGGACTACTTTTACTTTTACTTCACTACATGCCTAAAGAACATGATGTACTTTTTACTCCATACATTTTCCCTGACACCCAAAAGTACTCGTTCCATTATTAATGCTTACGACAGGAAATGGTACAATTCATGTAGTAGTTGGCATCAATATCTGCAACAATTTGAGGGGATCCATATGGGTCGACTTTGAGCACCTCTCTCCTGAAAGCTTGGTCATTCAGGTCCAGAAATCACATTTATACCATTTCTGTCATGGGTGAATGAAGAGATGAGGTCAAATGGATTGATTGATATGGAATGGAATTGCCCTACTACTTCAAAGGCTCTAGGCCTATCTGCAGTGGCTTACTGATTTTTTCTCTCTCTTTATTTCAGTGGAGGATATGGCAACAAGCTTCGGCTAAATGTACAGAAACTCATCAAGAAAAGTAAATCGGTGAGTTACTTTTGTGCCTAGTAATGACTTATCAAATAAACATATTTCTGCCAACCTTCAACATCTTACAAGACTGTAAGGACCCAAACCCTATACCCCGTGCACTGAAGTGGTAGAGCAGTCCAATCAACACCCCGCCCTGCTCTGGCACGAGTCTTAAGTTTTCTTCACTGTACTGATCTTTGGTTCTCTCTTCAGGTTAAAGTTGTGGACACCTTGGAATTGGGTGAATCCAAGAATGGAGACCGGTACAAAGTTGTTCTGAGGCGCTGGAAAAACGTGGAACTTCCAAGAGTTTTTAGTGGACGATACTGACTATAATTCTCGCCATTGACAAGGGAATTAGAATATCTACATCTTTGCATGATGTTACATCATAGTGAATTGTGCAGTTTTTACAGTAGTCCTCTTGTTATGTGTTATCATTGGCTTATCTGGTTTCAAATGGCCTTGACACCATTTTCAATTAACAGATGTTAATAACAGATCCAAATTCTCCAAGTCATTCTACATAATTAAGTAATGGATAGTCATGGCTTGAATCAGATGCAAAGAAAATATGGGTGGGATAAGTATTTAATTAGCTAAATGCTAATAAAGTGAAATGCTAAATTCGACTGATTTTATTACAAATGGGTTAACATGACCTGTTGCTATGGTTTAATACAGATTTATAGTACAAACTTCTATAAGAAGGTATAACATAACATTTTATAAAAGACCAGTGGTGCCATAATGCTACAACATGTGCGTTGGAACAAAATAATATCACAATTTCTATCCATCTTTGACTGATCTACTGTCTTTGTAATATTTACATGTTTATTGTTTTTAAGGCTACAACAGCTTATCTACAGGGTAAGTTAGATTAGCTATTACAGTATCGTTTTTGTACATTGAAACTTAGTCTATCATCTCATGATTTCATCTCAAACGTCATCGATGAAAAACTACACCGTCTAATGCTGTAGTTCGATATTACAAATACATCCATTAAGAGTACTGATGAAAAGCCTTTAAGAGTTGGCCTTATCCTACACAGGACCGTGTGCAAAGGCTTCACTATGCTATTCAGCTTATGTACTTGTGTAAATATTTAGAATAAAAAAAGTAAGTGTTGCCTTCAGCTTTGACTAGGACACAGTATTTGATCTCTTGGCCTTCTTCAGTATGTCACACTTCTTACGGTTGGGCCGCCGGCATCGCTCATCTATGCTTGGCACGCATTCGTAATGCCAGACCTCCTCCATCTTCTCAACTGGATATACGGCCTCTACATAGTGGCGGATGAGCCTGAGACGCACAGGATCCAGCTGCTTCTTATTGCAGGCGCCCGAGTGGTTATACTGAAGCCGCAGGTTCTCCTGTGTGAAGAGCTCAGGGAAGAGGCGCACCAGTAGGCGGGCAGCAAAGTTTCCCACAGAAAGGCTCTGCTGGACAATCTCTCGCACCTCAGTGTCTGAGAGCCAGTAGACCGAAGGCACGGGGAAGTCCGGGATCGACACCGTCAATTTCTCCAGGGGGATCTTGCAGAAGTCTTTGCTACTTTTTTCGGGCGGTAGTGGAGGAATTTCGAAGTCCTTCAAGCGCTCTGTGTTGAGCTGGTTCACTTGGCAAGCAGCCACAAAGTCCACAGGCTCTTGCTCCACCTCAGGAGCGTAGACTTTGCGTTGCTGCTGGTACGACCGCCGTTGTTCCGTGTCTCGACGCCTGCACCGCTCGTCCAGTTTACCCACAAATTCCAGGGTCCACACTCTGTCATTCTTGGCCCGTGGATATAGTAGCTGTACGTAGTGGCGAATAAGGTCGACCCGTACAGGATCAAGCTGCTTCTTCCCGAGAGAGCCACTACAGTTGTAATGCTTCCGTGCGTTGTCATAGGTGAAGAGCTCAGGGAACATAAGTACCAACAAGCGAGAGGCAAAATTCCCAATTGACAAGCTACAGTCATAGTTGTTCCTCAGCTGCTCCCTGGAGAGCAGATACTCTTGAGGCACACTGAACTCTGGTAGGGGCATCTCAAGTTGTTCAAAATCGACTGGCACAAGCAAGGACTTTTTTGACCTACGACCTGGTCTCTCGTAGTCACACAAGTCACTGATCTTGATGATAGAGACATCGTCAGGGAGGCTTGTGGAGTCATAGCTTTCATCGTTCATGTTCTCAGGATCGCTGCCATTGCCGTTACTGTGAGAACCCTCTATTGCGTCTTCTATGCGCTGCACACACACCTGCAGCCAACTATCCTCTGAGACATCAGGAAAATTTGCTTCCATGTATTTACGGATAATTTCTATCCTGTCCGAGTCCAAGATCATCTTTCCCACACTACCCTCTGGAAATTTCCCCTCCTCAAAAACCTCAGGGAAAAGTCGGTTTACAAGAAACATAACAAAGTCTTCAGGGGAAGAAAGCTCATCAAGATCCTCTCCAACCTCCTGAGTGTCAAACACAAGGTCTGGCACTACTTTGTTGTTGTTGGTGTGGTCACCATTGGAATCTAAGTCAAGGTGCACTTCTTGTCCCTCCTCATTTATAAAATGGCAGGGCTGGTTCTGCTCAGCTTTGAAACCAAAGCTTGTAATAGTCTGTTTCCCACATGACTGTTGGCCACTCTCCATATCCTTCTGGGCCCAGAAGCGGTTAAAGAAGTCATTAATCTGTAATAGGCATTCATCCTGCCAAATGTTGTTGTTCTTAACCAGAGGAAAGCACACCTCCACATAGTTGCGTATTAGCTGCAGATGTAAGGAATCCAACGTTCTCTTGTTGGTGATGCAACCACGAGTGCACTCATTGGCTTTAAGAAGTTCTGGGAAGAGGTGTACCAGCAGTCGACAACCCAACTCGCCAGCATTTGATGTCTGCTCCATCAGCTGACTCAGCTCCTCATTTGTCAACAGGTATTCTGGCGGAGGCTGGAACTCAGTCGCCATCTCCGAGGGTTTGATCTGTTTCTTGATGCGAGTGACCTCCAGGGAAAGTAGATCAACCTTGCTGTGCAGTTGGGTCATGCTTGAGTTGAGCGTATTAAGGATGAAAAACATCTTCTCAATGAGGGAGTATAGATTAGAGTCTGTTGAAGACATGGACCCTGCCGCACCCAGGGCAGAGAGGGGTTCACTTCGGCTGTGCTCCCCTGTATTGACCAGTTGAGGGGATAAGAGGCTGCTGTAGCTTAGCCGCACTCCTCCCTCATGCTGAGCATGCTGGTCAAGGCTTGATGTGAGCTTCTTCTCTGTGATTCTGTGAGAGATGCTGTAGAGAGGCTTCCTGTAAGAGGCTATAGTCTTCTCCTGGTCAGCAGATGTCAGGCAAAGGGGTTGAGGCCTTGTGGACTCTTCAGACAATCTCCTCAGCAAGCGCCGCCCGGCCTACACAGAGACAACAACATTATCAATTTCTTATCTCAAATGTATTTTCAATGTCATATAAAAACTGGAATAAGCACGCTAAATAAATAGATGGACAAATGGCATCACATAGACAGGCCTATTTAGCAAGTTCAGTTAGTCATGAGGTATCATAGATTATGCCATTTCATTAATTTACCTCACTAGAGACCCTGACTCTCTTGCTGCTGGTAGACTGGTCCAATTCAGAATTGTGAGCGTCACAGCCCATGTCCATGGCAGTACGTTTGCTGGTGGCCTCACTAGTTCCAAGGGACCATTTTCGTGGTCCTTCAGTTGTCTCACTAATAGCACAGTCATCCGTCTCCAACTTGATGCCTTGAATGGGTTCTCTCTCTGCAGAAAAACATTTAAAATCAATGTTATGTTATTTACAAGTGAATTAGATTTTCCCACTTAGGTGTTGATCAATCCAAACCGCTTCGAAGTGGATTGTTGCATTATAACAGTGGAATGAAATTGTTTATAGACTTACCTCTCTCGAGCTTTTCTCCATCCGAGTTTTCCCCATGGTCAGAGGAATTCATATCCTATAGTGAAAAAATAGAATCAAAATAAATCAAACCTGTAACATCTACTGTTTATTCATTTTTAAGAATTAAAATGTCACTGCACTGTTAAGTAACCTTTACTAAATAGACACATTACATTGATTGCATTGTCCAAATTGTGCTATATTGTTAGAGACTTCATCTTTCATATGATAATATTTCAAAATTATTAAAAGTCCCATTCTATATTCAACAACATAACTGTGAGTGTTGTTCCATATAAAGTAAAGCCTATGATGTTATTATTGTCATAATCAATCAGGCCCTTGTTCACTTGCAAGTTCACTTGTCTACTTCACCTGCTTTAACATGTTCATAGGCAATTAGGCCTACATGGATTTCATACTGAACACTGATCAGCTGCTTGGGAGCATGTTTACTAATCGAAAATAATGGACTGTGTCACATTCATTTTACAAATAAATATAATAAACTTGTGCTCTGCTGTTTAACTGCTAACAGTGGGTGAGTTGTGTTCTGGTAGTGATGCAAGAGGACTCAACGTCTGTAACTAGAGGCTTTATGACATGTCTCACTCGCCCCCTTTTACTGCTGTTTCTGTCCCATCCACTTCCTCATTCTTCCACTAGAAGAAGCCCATGAACCAAAACATGAGAGTACACAGACAGAGGACGAGGCGAAACGAGAGGATTTACTCCGCCCAGGATCTGTTCACGTGAGATAAGCCTATTTTTTGTACGTCGGTCTTTGGGTGTCGAATTACGTGAGGCTTATTTAATATACGTTTTGTAATGTTTAGGCTGTTACAAATATACTGATATAAGTGGTTGCACGTGGCATTCCGATAACTTTGAGAAAAAACACTTAGTTGTGCCTGATGTTCACACGCGTATCTGCCCTCTCACTGGCTAGAATGGACCCACCTGATCTCGTTTGCCTTCAATCATTGAGGACATGTTTTTCCATTGTTAGAGCGGTCACTCGGCTATCTTGCCAATATAATAGATCATCTTTGGAGTACACACACAGCTGTGTCATACTTTCCCCGCTGTCAATAAGAACTTCAGTCTTTCGTGGCAATTAAAAACGCCATGAGATTTATTTGAATACACATCAAATTGATATAGTTTTACTTCGCATTAAAGCTAGCTAATCATTGTTTTTTTTTGGGATTATTCTTTAGTGACGCGGCAGTGTATATCCTCGGACGAGTTTTTCCCCACTCGTCTTCGTGGAATTGTCTCAAAAACGCAGATGCTCGAGCTCACCTTTACGATTTCATGCAGTCCTTTGCAGTCATTGAAGATTGGGTTAACATATCTTCCGAGAATGTCGTGGGAATTTCACACACGGATAACTGTTGTTCGTGTTTCTCTCCTCTTTTTTTCTTGTCTGTGCCGTCTCGCGTGACGTGATTGGGCGCGCGCCTGCTGTGTCATTTCCGCACAGCTGTGGATGTGTTTTGTGTGGCCGTGGGCCTTGTGCATGATGACAACAGAGAGAAACGATGACCCAAATTGCGCGAAAATGCAATGAATTGAAAGGTAAATAACTAGCTACATTATTTGTGGGTAATTTGCGAATCCCCATATGAGGCTTGATAGCCCTGCAGGCTATTTCATGTGAGCTGGCATACTGGCAGAATACGGCCCAACCGCAGATTTTCTCTGCATTTCAACAGGTAGCTGCAATATAGCGCTCTCTGAAGATGTGCAGTACCTTCACAGAGTGGGCCACAAACTAATAATACTAAACAATGGAGAAAATGCATCCCATGACATTTTCACCTGCACAAAGTGAATTTAGTGTTCAATTACATTCCATGAGACTACATAACCTACCTACATATTTGTGATAGAATAGTTTATAAACAAATTATGTATTCAATGACAATGAAAACATCGATCAAATTGATTTAGAAACCCCGGCCTTTAATACACATTGCAATCAATCCACATCCGCCTTTTCAGATCCACTTGCAACTTGGACATAAAAAGTAACATTACTATGGTATGTCTCCCTCCTGTGTTTTCAAATGGAATTGCATTTACAACAGAGGGTGGCGGTGAAGAAATAGCTATTGGGCCCACTACTGTTGGTCCAGGTCAGATTCCCAGATAAAAATGTAAATAAATCGTATTTCTCACACTTAAAATGCCTGAAATCCAACATCATCCCATTTGATCCAAAGAATATGTCAGCATCCAGAAAAAAAATCCAGTTTTGTAAGGGCATTAATGCATGTCTGAGGATTAGAGGACTAAGTCGTTATGTAGACATAAAGGTAGCTGCTATTCTACCTTTTAAAATTATTATATGCGGAATTCAATTAATCTTACTTTAATATGAATAAAGACTTGCTAAAGTGCCAAAACTCAGCAATTTGACATGTCCCTCCGTGCACACTCTGCGACTTCTAGGAAAACTTTAACCCACTTAATCCCAACATTTCTCCAAGTTTTTACCATAATTGTAAAGCATTAGTTATTTTATTGCTTTGACAGTCATTTCTGAAGAATACTAATTATTGAATGTGAGTCCTTTACATCTGCCCCTCATTTTAAGGTCAACCCTGTTACGTGAACTGAACTGAATATGGTGAAACTATTACTTTTTAAATATTTTTTTCAAAAGAAACAGTCAAATCAGTGTAAAGCATGAGAGCTGGTTCTACTCTTTTCTGGTGTTGTGGTGGAAAACTGAGAGGGTTTAGCATAATATGTCAACCCATAGATACAGGCTAGACATTTTTTAACAATTGCATTTGTTTTGTGAAGTTTGCATTCTATTGCCCCTCCCTGTTGCGTACAACAAGCTTCCATTCCCCCTGTCACAAGAGGATTTATGGCTGATTGAAGATGAAATCGTCAACCCTGTTATGGTCAACCCTGCTACTTTATTTGTATTTATTAGGGATCCCCATTAGCTGCTGCCAAGGCAGCAGCTACTCTTCCTGGGGTCCAAACACATTAAGGCACTTACATCACACATGAAATACCCCTACATATCTACAATACAAAATCTATAATACAGTGCCTTGCAAAAGTATTCATCCCCCTTGGCGTTTTTCCTATTTTGTTGCATGGATTTCATGTAATGGACATACACAAAATAGTCCAAATTGGTTTAGTGAAATGAAAGAAAAAAAGAATGGAAAAGTGGTGCGTGCATACGTATTCACCCCCTTTGCTATGAAGCCCCTAAATAAGATCTGGTGCAACCAATTACCTTCAGAAGTCGCATAATTAGTTAAATAAAGTCCACCTGTGTGCAATCTGTGTCACATGATCTGTCACATGATCTCAGTATATATACACCTGTTCTGAAAGGCCCCAGAGTCTGGGGCACCACCAAGCAAGCGGCACCATGAAGACCAAGGAGTTCTCCAAACAGGTCAGGGACAAAGTTGCGGAGAAGTACAGATCAGGGTTGGGTTATAAAAAAATATCAGAAACTTTGAACATCCCACGGAAAAATTTAAAGAATATGGCACCACAACAAACCTGCCAAGAGAGGGCCGCCCACCAAAGCTCACGGACCAGGCAAGAAGGGCATTAATCAGAGAGGCAACAAAGAGACCAAAGATAACCCTGAAGGAGCTGCAAAGCTTCACAGCGGAGATTGGAGTATCTGTCCATAGGACCACTTTAAGCCGTACACTCCACAGAGCTGGGCTTTACGGAAGAGTGGCCAGAAAAAAGCCATTGCTTAAAGAAAAAAATAAGCAAACACGTTTGGTGTTTGCCAAAAGCCATGTGGGAGACTCCCCAAACATGTGGAAGAAGGTACTCTGGTCAGATGAGACTAAAATTGAGCTTTTTGGCCAAAGGAAAACGCTATGTCTGGCGCAAACCCAACACCTCTGATCACCCTGAGAACACCACCTCATTTCTACCAGCATGTTAAATGTGCAACCACCTTTACTCCACACACAGAGACACGTACAAAGCTCTCCCTCGCCCTCCATTTGGCAAATCTGACCATAATCCTATCCTCCTGATTCCTGCTTACAAGCAAAAACGAAAGCAGGAAGCACCAGTGACTCGGTCAATGAAAAAGTAGTCAGATGAATCAGATGGCACTTGGGAGCCAGGCCCACCCATTGCAGAGCCCAGCCAATCAGTGTAAAAAAAAAAAGTCGGTCCTGCTCCTCTCCTCGCTACCTAACTTCCCCTCACAGTCCCTTCAGTTTCCCGTTAGTTTGGCTACTCAGCCTACCTAAGTTATCCCTCACCCATCATAGCCCTGCCATTCCCAACCAATCAGAGCGCTTGGAAATGTGCATCTGGACACTGCACCCACCCACTCAGCTCAGAGTGTTATCGTCATCCAAAGGGAGAAGACATGTTTCTGAGGAAGATGAGTTGCGAGGCCCTACACACCTCTCTCATCTAAGAGACTACCAGCCCTGCTCCAGGCCTCCTCAGTGGTCAGGGAGTGACCACACCCTCACCAGTTGGGAGCTGATGAGGGAATACGAGTACCTGCATCACGAGCAGCAAGAGATCAGGAGGGCGTACTCTAGGCCATCCCGGCCTGAGTCACCGCCACGGGAGCGCCGCTACTCTCCTGACCACCACCGCTCTAGGCCTCCCTGGCTAGAGACATCGTCACCGCCACAGGAGCGCCATCACTGCCGGTACGCCATGAGTCGGCCTGGCTACTCCCCTGAGAGACACTACTCCAGGCCCTCCCGGCCTGAGTGTTCGCCATTGGGACCCCCACTACGTCCCGAGGTGGCCCAGTTATTCAACAAATCTTTGTCGCTCCAGGCCCTCCCGGCTGGAGCCTACGTCGTATTTGCCAGATCGTCAGGAGCGCCACCTCCCCCCCGAGGTGGTCCAGCCGCTGTCCCAGCCGATGTCCCTCTAGGCCCCTCCGGCCAGAGGCACGGGAGCGTCGGGTCCATTTCTGCTCCCCAGAGAGGCCTAGCTCCCAAGCAGATGGAGACAACTCCAGAGTGCACAGTCCACGACACCAAGGTCTGCACCCTCCTCAGCCAGCTCGACTAGCCACAGTTAAGGAGACTCCCACTCCAGTCGTGGAGCCACAGCCAGCCACTGCCATGGGGCCTGTTCTGGTTGCCGTTGCGGAGTTGTCCTCTCCTCCCAGTGGGGATCCCCTGCTAGTCGAGTCAGGTGACCACCAAACACACAGCTGTTTCCAATTGAAGATTACAAGTCATTCTGATTACCAAAATCATATAAACATCTTCAAATGGAAACAGCTGTGTCTGCGTGTGGGTGTGGTGGTGACCAAGTGTTCAGTATGGGCCTCAACATCATGTCCTAACCAGACAGCACTATAGAGGACAGAACCAAACCAATCAGTTATAAGTACATAGCGGGTGAGGGCATTCACAGCTGACCGCTCAGACGGGTGAGGGCATACCAGCCAACAGTTTTTACATGGTCCTTCTAGCCAGATTTAGTGACCAACAGTTCTTTACATGGTCTGTCATTTCTCCGGATTTAGCGACCAATAGTTTGCACAGTGAGTTTTTACCCACAAAAGGTCTTTATTACAGAAATAAATACTCCTCAGTTTCATCAGCTGTCTGGGTGGCTGGTCTCAGACGATCCCCGCAGGTGAAGAAGCCAGATGTGGAGGTCCTGGGCTGGCGAGGTTACATGTGGTCTGCGGTTTTTAGTCCGGTTAAACGTAATGCCAAATTCTCTAAAACGACATTGGAGGCGGCTTATGGCATAGAATTGAACATTAAATTCTCTGGCAACAGCTCTGGTGGACATTCCTGCAGTCAGCATTACAATTGCATGCTCCCTCAAAACTTTAAACATCTGTGGCATTGTGTTGTCACAAAACTGCACATTTTAGAGTGGCCTTTTATTGTCCCCAGCACAAGGTGCACCTGTGTAATTAATGATCATGCTGTTTAATCAGCTTCTTGATATGCCACACCTGTCAGGTGGATGGATTATCTTGGCAAAGGAGAAATGCTCACTAACAGGGATGTAAACAAATGTGTGCACCACATTTGAAAGAAATACGCTTTTTGTGCATATGGAAAATTTCGGGGATCTTTTATTTCAGCTCATGAAACATGGCACTTTACATGTTGCGTTTATTTTTGTTCAGTATAATTGTCACCATGGAAGGCCAAAACTCCATCCCACTAAAACAGGTTGAAATTTCAGGCGGTCTTTTCAAACAGCTCTTACACTAAAAGGGCATTATCATCATTTTCACAATGTCACAGTATTATTTCAACCTCATATTGTTGAAATAAATATAACACAGGAAAATTACATTTTTGACTGCACAGGGCCTTTAATAGGCACTTACTATAGTAAAACAAAAATTACCTCTTGAGATGGGAACATGTTTTTAATTATGTGAAATCATAAAGACACCGAATTGGTGGAAGAACCATGAACTGCCCTTAAAAAGGCTATACAAAAGGAGGATATAATAACCTTTGGCCCCTGGGTTGCTCTTTAGCCAAAAAGGGTCCCCTAAATAAACAGGAATACTTGTCCAGAAACGACCATATTGGACAGGTTCCAAATCCCAGACCCAAATTCCATGGCATTACAAATGGATTCTGCAAATGAACAAAGAGATTTCGTTAATCAGTTCCGTCACAATGTAGGGAGCACAACTTGACCTTGTTCTGTCGAGGACATACTGTATCATATCTAACATCCACGCACACTCTAGTTAGTACCCAATGTTCTAGCACTGACTGGTCACAAATTTGTCGATGTTGGGCTGATATAACAGCTGAGACGGTGCGACAGTCATTATTTGGTTAATGAGCTGTCTCAGTGGCAGTGTGGCGCGGCAGTCTGATCTGTCAGCCAATGAAATGCGAGACCTGTGCTGGAAAGTCGGGGGTCACTGAAGCGAAGGCTTGCAACAAGGGGCTGGGATTCAGCACTTAACACTTTGAAGTGCTCGTTAAAATGTCATTTTTGGACAATATGCTCGTTTCTGTTGAAGAGAGAACAGCATATTGTTCCTAATGCACTGAGTGGTTTCATCCATCACCATGTGATGGTATTAACAGGTGTTCACTGAAAGGTAATTTGTGAAAAGACTAATTGAAAGTCTATCACGGCACTATTATTGATTAGAGATCTTTCAAATGCACACAAAATACACTAAACAAAAACATACGCAACATGTAAAGTCCCATGTTTCATGAGCTGAAATAAAAGATCCCAGACATTTTCCATACGCACAAAAAGCTTATTTAGCTCAAATTCTGTGCACAAATTTCTTTACATCCCTGTTAGTGAGCATTTCTCCTTTGCCAAGATAATCCATCCACCTGACAGGTGTGGCATATCAAGAAGTTGATTAAACAGCGTAATCATTACACAGGTGCACCTTGTGCTGGGGACAATAAAAGGCCACTCTAAAATGTGCAGTTTTGTCACAACGCCACAGATGTCTCAAGTTTTGAGGGAGTGTGCAATTGGCATGCTGACTGCAGGAATGTCCACCAGAGCTGTTGACAGAAAATTGAATGTTAATTTCTCTACCATAAGCCGCCTTCAACATCGTTTTAGAGAATTTGGCAGTACGTCCAACCGGCCTCGCAACCGGAGACCACGTGTATGGCGTCGTGTGGGCGAGCGTTTTGCTGATGTCAACGTTGTGAACAGAGTGCCCTATAGTGGCGGTGGGGTTATAGTATGGGCAGGCATAAGCTATGGATTACAAACATAATAGCATTTTATCGATGGAGATTTGAATGCACAGAGATACCGTGACGAAATCCTGAGGCCAATTGTCGTGCTATTCATCTGCCGCAATCCTTGAAGAGGAGTAAGACAACATTCCACAAGCCACAATCAACAGCCTGATCCACTCTATGCAAAGGAGATGTCGCGCTGCATGAGGCAAATTGTGGTCACACCAGATACTGACTGGTTTTCTGATCCATGCCCCTACCTTTTTTTAAAGGTATTTTTGACCAACAGATGCATATCTGTATTCCCAGTCATGTGAAATCCATCATTAGGGCCTAATGAATTTAATTTAAATTGACTGATTTCCTTATATGAACTGTAACTCAGTAAAATCTTTGAAATTGTTGCGTGTTGCGTTTTATATTCTTGTTTAGTATAGAATACTGAATGCCAGGTAAAGGGCTAGGTCTTCAATGAAAATTAGGTTTAGAATGCAGGCAAACCAATGGATGGATGTTTCCACGAAGGGGAAAGACTACCTATATGTTTGCCCCCCAGACTTATTTTCTGTGTCCATTTTGGGACACTCCTGTCAGTGTTACGTTAGTGGACTAGCCAACAGAGTACTCATCTTCTTTTGAGTGGCATGTAGAGATTATGCCCTTTTGAAGACACTCTTGTTGAAGTCTCTCTGTTTTATGGACATTTGTCCTCTGTCTGTAGGAGCATGATGTGGGGAAGCTGTAATAGAATCTGTTTTGCTGCGCTGGCTGGCTCTCCACTGCGCCCCATCTGTAATTACACCACACAGACACCCACTCACATGGGGTAGCTGCTGCCTGCTGCCCCCTCCACAACATTATTTGTGTAAACTCAGCCATCTTGTCAACCTAGCAGTCTGGGTGCGACGGATGGGAAACCACAAAAATAATCTCTATGAACAATAACACTGTAGGGTTTCAGATATATGATACTGTACATGGAGTGGTCACTCTGTATAGAGATTTCTAAAATGCAACCTCCCTGCCTTGAAGTGATCACTAATCTGTAAGGACTGAATTTTAAATAGAGATCCACACCTGTAATTCTGGGCCTGTAGCAAGGACCTCAAGAAAGACAGGTAAATGTTCTCAGTAAAAATTGTTCCCAATTTTAAGAAAAACTTTAGTTTGAGTTATTTGAAGACCCTTATTCTCCTCTTTATGTTTGGTCCCTTTAACTTCCTTCTTTCCTCCCGTCTGCTCACGGCATGGATTAATATTACATCAATGGCCAAAGGCTTGCTCTTGTACACAATGTTCCTACTAAATGGAGGCAGCACTGCAGCTAACCTAACAGCGCCAAAAACATAGTGGGAGTGGACTCAAACTACTACCCACATCCCATCGACTGAGATCCACATTTTTATTTGAAATGCCCTCTACATTACTGGATAAGCTTCGCAGTCCTTTTCTTTTCCCCTTCCTCTGTACCGCATGCCCTTCAGGCCAGGCCGCATGTGACAGACAGACACTGATGGTAGTGGTGACGCTTCTCCAACAATGTTCCCTCTACAATTTTTCAGCACTGAGCAAATTTCAGGTCTGCTGAGTGCAAACTTGAACCTTGTGAAATTTCTGTGCAACTTCCGGTGCGCATTTACTGTGAACACTGAGGCCGTACCCGCTTTAATTTACTGTTTTAGGTTACTGTGGCTATTTGATCATAATGTAGGCCTACCATTTAAAAAAACAATGGATAAAATGCATCACATAACATTTTAACATGGAAATTGTGGTTCTATCATTCAGCCTACAGTAGAAGCCAATGTGTGGTGTTCAATGTAGACCTACATTCCATGTGACTTTTGAAAAGAACATGCAGGGCTTGACATTAACCTGTTTATCCACTTGTCCTTCAGACTAGGAGCTGACTGAACATTTTGATGTGTTGTTTGATACAAGAAACCACTTTACAAAATAAAATCCATTATTATTCCCATACCATTATTACAGAGAATCAGACAAATTATGCTACCCTCTGCCTATTGGCTACTTAGCTTATTCAAGCCCGTCTCAAAACACTGCCCCTTTAAGACACAAAAAAAGCTCTTTACCTGACTTGCTTTTCAAAGATGGCTAGAAATGTACAGGTTTTGTGCTCTTGTAGGAAGCAATCACTCCCACATTGCTGACTACAAATGAGCTATAACTGGGCTAATAACTCACTAAGGATATGAACAAATGTACACACGTGGCTACATGCAGCTCTTGCGTTGATCTTAAAACAAGCGCATAATAATCCTGACCGCTCATGCTGTAAAACAGTTGAATGTGAATGGCACAAATCCATATGGCAATGGTCTATTTGCATATAGGCCTACTGCAGCTCTGATTGATTATAGCGCACCGGTCTGTGTAGAGTACGGGCCTGAGTCATGCCTGTCAATGCAATAGAATCCTACTCCAATGCGCTCTGCCTACAACAAAATCTCTTGCATAGTTAGTTTTGTTTCGGTATGTTGCATTGAAAGTGGCTAATATTGCGTTGATTCAATCACAATTCCCACAGTAAAGGGAAATGTTGATAGTGTTAACTAAAGGGGAAAACTCTAGAAAGTTGAGTGAAGTTCAATCTCATGCTTAGAGGGAACATTGTTCTCTACCCAGTTTCACACCTTGGCTGTCCCCTGCCGAGAGTGCCAGGGAAACCACAGACCACCACCCTGGCGCCAACCCACAGGGGCACATCGGCCCAATCAATATCCTTGCATTTCCTGTCCATTTGCTGCAGGTCATGGGAATGGGCCTCATTAATAATTACTGCTGGCGGAGCTTCGAGTGTGTTCCTCGTGGCAGGGCCAACGAAATTTGACATTTTTCCCTCCTAGATTTTTGCTGTTGCACAGTGACAGAGCAAAGTCGTAATAGTAGTAAACACAATAAAATAACTCAACAGATGACTGGATGTGAATTGTTTTAATAGCAAACAGTTAAATTGAGTTTTAAAGGTGTGATCTGTAGTTTCATTTCCGGTAAACGCCGGTGAGGGTTGCGAGTGTTCTGCTCACCGATTGGCTTAAATGGAACCAAGATAGTTTTTTGTGTGTGTTTGAGCATTGATTGATTGTGGCCACAGGGGAGTAGGGGGTCAGAACTTTGTGACCGCGCGAGCGATGTTCTCCAAGGCTGAGCGCGCCTCAGAGGAAGGGAAACACTGGATGGACTCCAGAGCTTTGTTGCCGTGGTAATGACACAGATCTATTGTCGAGGTGACACCTTTCTCCAACTTGATCGTGGACCGCAGCTGTTGCAGGAAGAGACCATATGACATGACTTCAGCATTTTTTTTTGTAAGCAAATGTTGAAATTAGCATCCTATTGTGAACAATGAGGATGGAATGTGCAGTGGTCAAGACAAAACTGTACATTGGTCATGAGACTCCCCCTCCTCCCAGACACACTGAGTAATCTTGGGTGTCTTTCCCCCTTCTGCTCTGACTCAGTCAGGACATCTTTTTGCTTAGGGCGTTCTACCTAATGAATTCTGGGACTGAAAAGCCCCTGTGGGCTTTCGCTTAAAAAACAGCAGGCAGGGAGCATTGCTCCTCTGCACTAATGTGGGTGCACGCTCCTCAGTTTGGAAACGGGACACAGCACACTCCAAGGGTCTCCACCATACTCCATTAGTCCCCAGAAAGTCCTGTCCACCACCTTCTCTTCCTATGTTGAACAACAGGTGGCAGAGATTACCAAAATATGGTCTGACTGAGACCATCTCCATGGATGTTCAGACTGCATTACATTTAAGACTAACAGGAGCAGTGCACAGGGCACACCTAGTGTTTGACACAATGTGTATTTCAGAGTAAAAGCCCAGGCAAGCAGGACACATTTATTATATTGTAAATACTAATCTATATGGAAATGAAAATTATAGTTACTACAATAACTGTTGTGCAGTTAGGAGGATACGTTCTCCCCATATCCCCCCTCCTGAAGGAGATTCTCTGACAATGGATCTGTCTCAGTCTCTCTGTCTCCTCCACAAATAGTCCTGGTTACCTAATCCCCACGATCTGGTTTCAGACGTGACCAGAGATCCCCCCCCCCCCCCCCTTGTCTCTTCCTGCACCCCCATCTGTCCCCTCCTTTCCTTTCTAACTGACTTTGGGAAGGAAATGTCAAACTTGTGATTGGTTACAGTGGATATCAACACTCTCTAAGCATCTTTGACAGTCTTGCAACCTACCTTGCTACCATAGCACAATAATAAACATCCACTGTATGTACATTCACCCTGCTCACCTTTGTATAGTCAATTTGTCTTCCAATAGTTTTTGCCTGTTCACAGAGAAAGATGGTGGGAAAGAAAATTCAAGAAGTAAGTATACATCCTAACCTTGTGGCTATATAAACAATTAAAATGTCAAAAGTAATAGCACAGGATAAGTGGTTCAGTACCTGTTGCAGCTGATGACACCATCTCTCCTGCCCCACAATCTGCCGGTGGAAAACCACAGGGGCCGAGTTAAAACTGAAGGTTACTGGGTCTGCTGAGCTGCTCTTCACAAATAGCTGCAGGTCAGAGTTCAACTAAATAGGGGGGAATGACAGCATTTGTCAATAATCATGACAGCCTAGTCATGATCCTTACATGTTACGTTTCACCACCTATCTCAGTATATTGCAAATACCCACTGTGTCTTTCACTCGCATTTTCACATTTTTAGGAAAGATTGAAAGCAGCATGATTCTATACTTTTCAGCAAAGCCAATCTTTCAGGTTTCCTGCAATACTTGCCTTGTGGCCCAGTGATAGATGCTTGGCATATTTGTAAGCCAGTCCTTGGGCATCTTTGTCATGTTTGGCGAGCTCCATCGCTGCCTGACAGCTTTTTGCCAGCAAGGCACCATGGGACAAGAACGTCTGCTCCTCCCACGTGACCATGTTGATTTCATCAGTCAGGCTATTGTCCTGAAAAGAGCAGTTTACATAAAGTGTTATGTATTCAGTTATGACTGTTTCCATTACATAGAAGTACATTTTTATCCGATTATCTACATTTCGAATAACAGCGCCAACTATAGAATATACGGTACAACTTTAATTCTTTGGAACTTAATTGTTCATAAGAGCATTTCACTGGAAAAATAAAAACTGGAGACTAAAACTTTATATTTTGTTTAAAAATTGCGATTTATAACCACAGTATAAAGTTCCAAGGAGAGAAGAGCCCAGGTTGAAACTGGAACCACCTCTGAGGTAGAACATAACACTGAGTTCTGCTGGGAAAGCTCTTCTTCAGAGGGTGAGGTGTAAACCGTATCTCTCTACCCGTCACAAATAATCAGGTTGCATCCAGTACGTAATACTAGCAGACTGATAAATGAACAACACTGTTCTATCAGGTAAGCACACTAAAAAGTTTGTCCAAATTAATAATTTAGTAAAATGCATGTTTTCATTTTATGTTAAAAACAAAACTCACCTTTTTTTTAGTTATTATGACCATAACTGTAGTAGGGGATGCCTTGACATATTTTTTTAGTAATGTTCTCAGTTAGTTTGTATGGTGTTGTAACTACAGGTAACTGCCAAAATAAAGGACACACTTGAGTAAATGAGGGATACAAAGTATACTGAAAGCAGGTGCTTCCACACAGGTGTGGTTTTCTGAGTTATTTAAGCAATTAACATCCCATCATGCTTAGGGTCATGTATACAAAAATGCCTAGTTGCCCATTATTTTGGCTACCATGGCTAGAAGAGATCTCAGTGACTTTGAAAGAGGGGTATCAAAGGAGCACAGGGGGTTTAAAGGGTGTATGTGTGTCTCAGTCACCAGAACTCAACCCAATTGAACACTTATGGGAGATTCTGGAGTGGCGCCCAAGACAGCGTTTTCCAGCACCAGCACCATCAACAAAACACCAAATCGACTGAATATTTTGTGGAAGAAGGGTGTCACATCCCTCCCATAGAGTTCCAGACATTTGTAGAATCTGTGCCAAGGCGCATTGAAGCGGTTCTGGCGGCTCGTGGTGGCCCAACGCCCTATTAAGACACTTTATGTTGGCGTTTCCTTTATTTTGGCTGTTACCGGTAGCTATAGCTGGCTAGGGTGTCCCTGGTAGTGGTATATAAATTGTCTTACCTCCAAACTGTTGGGCATCTCATGGTAGGTTCCCTGCACCAAGTCACCAATGGCACTCGAGATCAACTCCACAACCTGTCAAACGCAAAAGAAAAAAGCTTTGGTTAACCACCATGAAAGTACTTTATGTAGTATTGAAATTGCTCTAAAGTGAGATGGGGATGGGGTTTAGGCTAAGAGGGTGTCTGGGCTGTAAATTGACCAGCTCTAACTCCTCACATTTCCAGCTCATTATCGGAACAGTGTGGACTGACTGAGGACTGCCTGCTGTTTTTATTAAGTACACCCAGACTGAGCTTTGTCAATTTCAATCTTATTTATAGCGACCCCCAGTTTAAACTGTATTATGAGGCTTTATCAGGTATCCAGTCTGAGAAGATGAAAGGCTGGCAAGGCAGAAATCAGGAAATATTATGAGGGCTGAGGGGTTGATGAGGCTCTGGAGCAGTGGTCTGACATCTGGTGCTGGGGCTCTTTGTCATCAACAACCCAACTCAGAATTGATTATCAATTTGATACCTTCTTGTTTTAGATATAACTTCACTCTGCTCAACAGGTTGTGGCCCGGCGGTATTGTATATTCATCATTTTTATAATGTTTTACACTAGCTCCCTCCCTTTGAGGAATTCTCAAGTCTACTAGGTCCAGGTGTGTGGGCATGTAGTGGAATGAATGTTAAAAAAAGGAAACAAATCTTAATTGTTTTCTTATTTAGGATTCAACTTGCCCCAGTTAAAATTGTGAACTTTGGGGCATCAAGTCAAAGATCTCGGGAGGCTGAACAGCTTTGTCACATAAAGCTCCATTAAAACTTGGAGGTCATAGTGTCATCTGTCTGCAGTTGCCCAGTCCCTCTTGCAGTGGGAATCCATGACTACATTTTAAATAGCACCCCCACTCACACACTATACTAAATTCAGTCAGGCACCTTATTTTATATGATTGTCCAAACCACTGACTGAGTTTAAATAATCACAAACACGATGTTCATCAGCTTTATCTTCTTTCACAATAAATTGCTCCTAAAGAACAGTGTATGGGCACAAAGATTTACAGGTAGATAAGAAAGACAATCTATTTGTTGTACTCCCTTAAATTCAAGAGGTTTTTTCATGATTTGAGAGTGTGTCTCTATCAGAGTCTTCATACTGCGCTCTGGGTAACCAGATCCTTTAGGAAATATTAAAGAAACTCAAGCCTCACGAAAGGCCCAAAAGGACAATACCCCTACAGTGTTACCAGATGTGCTGTCTTTGCTAGGCTGGGAATTAGGAAAATGAAGGGAGGGGGGAGTGGGGGTCTTTTTTTGGAAAGTATCAGATAAGCCCCCGCCTCCCCCTTACTCTACTCCCAAATCCAGGCAGATCGTGTTTTGCCGACAGGTCTGTGAGGGAGAGAAACCGGAGCTGGGCTCCGAGATCACTTTACCCTTTATACCGGCCTAGGATTCCTCTCAAGGCCGGAACACATAATCCAGATCAATTGCTCCCCTGAAATATTCCCTGGTTTATGTGAAATGCTTATAAACCTCTAAGCGCTTATGCTACGACTGCTACTACTGTCATGTCTGTCTTAGGTGACACACACGTAAACACAATAAAATCCTTGAAAAATATATTTTCTCACATTACACCTCAAGCAATTGGTGAGTGTGAACATTTTATTCTCTATCAAGGTTTGAATAGGGGTCTCTATTTGTCATTGTCCATTTGTTTAGGAGGCAGTGTCGTGACCATAGTTTAGACACACGTGAGTACTAATTTCAACATTTTAACTAGGCTGTTTTACAACTCTTGTGGGGGGGGCACATGTATGCATGTCCAGCAGGGGGAGCTCTAGAATGTCATTACATTATTGAAAATAAGACAATCTGAATTATACTGCAAAACAAATGAGTGTCATGATGTTCATGTAAGGTGTTAAAAATGCCTATGTATACCACTTTGACAATGCCCAAATTTAAAGAAAAAAAAGTACTTCTGTTATCAGAATTGTCATGATCACCGTGTCTTTAGGTGGCATTTTAAATGCCTGTTTGTCTGTCTGAGCATGAACAATCTGAGCTGAGGGAGTGGGCAGGGGGGAGAATTTGGAAGATTGCAAAGCAGAGAGAAAAGTGGTTATTATGATCCTCTTGTGCAGCCACATTCTGTCAGTTGAGGTTGGTGACACATTCTGACAGTTGAGGTTGGTGACACATTCTGACAGTTGAGGTTGGTGACATATTCTGACAGTTGAGGTTGGTGACACATTCTGACAGATGAGGTTGGTGACAATCTGTCAGTTGAGGTTGGTGACATATTCTGTCAGCAAAGGATTGCCAGTGTATGCACTGGAAGTGACCTGTGACCCACCATGCCCGCACCCAGACACGCACACAGACACACAATCTGCAGAAGTGCTTAGTAAGAATGAGTAGAAGGCCGTAAGAGAATGTAACCTGTGTAAATGAGGGTGCATTATTCCCACCCAAGCATATGTTGTGTGTGAGTATCGGTCTGCCTGCCAGTGGCCTAAGTGAGATAATATATTTGTTGATTCGATCAATCCACAACGGCCAGGAAAACTTGACACAGCAAGCTGATGTAAATGGTGTTTAAACTCCGCTTAGACTGTTTGTATTCTCATCACTATCCTTAGTTGTACTGCAGCGATCTTAGCATTGTCAACTATCATCTTCATCTCACTGACGATCTATTGAGATCTCACAGGTAAAAAGTCTGAATTCAGATTGCATTTTGGAAGAAATTTAAAGGCAGAACGAAAAAGCTACAGGGCAAGAAATCTGTATCTCCAACATAATGTGTTATATGACGACTATTTCATACCTTAGTATTGTTTAGCTGGGCCAGTCCAGTGCAAGCATTGGCGAGCAAGAAGTCCCCACTGAGAACGGACATCTTGTTTCCAAACTGCATGTCCTTCAGAGGTCCGTCAGAGTTGGTCCACTCCTTGAGATTGACGATCCCACGATGCACCAGGAAGGCCGTGTGGATGAGCTCTGTGATTTCAGCCAGGTTCCTCTGGCTGTAGAGGAGGAAATATTTACATTATCGAATTGTCATCAGTAAAACATATACAGTGAGGGAAAAAGTATTTGATCCCCTGCTGATTTTGTACATTTGCCCACTGACAAAGAAATGATCAGTATATAATTTTAATGGTAGGTTTATTTGAACAATGAGAGACAGAATAACAACAAAAAAAACGCATGTCAAAAATGTTGTTTTTTTTCAAATTGATTTGCATTTTAATGAGGGAAATAAGTATTTGACCCCCTCTCAATCAGAAAGATTTCTGACTCCCAGGTGTCTTTTATACAGGTAACGAGCTGAGATTAGGAGCACACTCTTAAAGGGAGTGCTCCTAATCTCAGCTTGTTACCTGTATAAAAAGACACCTTGTCCACAGAAGCAATCAATCAATCAGATTCCAAACTCTCCACCATGGCCAAGACCAAAGAGCTCTCCAAGGATGTCAGGGACAAGATTGTAGACCTACACAAGGCTGGAATGGGCTACAAGACCATCGCCAAGCAGCTTGGTGAGAAGGTGACAACAGTTGGTGCGATTATTCACAAATGGAAGAAACACATAATAACTGTCAATCTCCCTCGGCCTGTGGCTCCATGCAAGATCTCACCTCGTGGAGTTGCAATGATCATGAGAACGGTGAGGAATCAGCCCAGAACTACACGGGAGGATCTTGTCAATGATCTCAAGGCAGCTGGGACCATAGTCACCAAGAAAACAATTGGTAACACACTACGCCGTGAAGGACTGAAATCCTGCAGCGCCCGCAAGGTCCCCCTGCTCAAGAAAGCACATATACAGGCCCGTCTAAAGTTTGCCAATGAACATCTGAATGATTCAGAAGAGAACTGGGTGAAAGTGTTGTGGTCAGATGAGACCAAAATCGAGCTCTTTGGCATCAACTCAACTCGCCATGTTTGGAGGAGGATGAATACTGCCTATGACCCCAAGAACACCATCCCCACCGTCAAACATGGAGGTGGAAACATTATGCTTTGGGGGTGTTTTTCTGCTAAGGGGACAGGACAACTTCACCGCATCAAAGAGATGATGGATGGCGCCATGTACCGTCAAATCTTGGGTGAGAACCTCCTTCCCTCAGCCAGGGCATTGAAAATGGGTTGTGGATGGGTATTCCAGCATGACAATGACCCAAAACACACGGCCAAGGCAACAAAGGAGTGGCTCAAGAAGAAGCACATTAAGGTCCTGGAGTGGCCTAGCCAGTCTCCAGACCTTAATCCCATAGAAAATCTGTGGAGGGAGCTGAAGGTTCAAGTTGCCAAACGTCAGGCTCGAAACCTTAATGACTTGGAGAAGATCTGCAAAGAGGAGTGGGACAAAATCCCTCCTGAGATGTGTGCAAACCTGGTGGCCAACTACAAGAAACGTCTGACCTCTGTGATTGCCAACAAGGGTTTTGCCACCAAGTACTAAGTCATGTTTTGCAGAGGGGTCAAATACTTATTTCCCTCATTAATGTAAATCAATTTATAACATTTTTGACATGCGTTTTTCTGGATTTTTTTGTTGTTATTCTGTCTCTCACTGTTCAAATAAACCTACCATTAAAATTATAGACTGATCATGTCTTTGTCAGTGTGCAAACGTACAAAATCAGCAGGGGATCAAATACTTTTTTCCCCTCACTGTACTGAACATAAATATAAAAACGCAACATGCATCAATTTCAGTCAATAAATAAATTAGGGCCTAATCTATGGATTTCACATGACTGGGAATACAGAAATGCATCTGTTTGTCACAGACACCTTAGAAAAAAATGCTAATAGCCATTTGATTAGCTGTTCAGGAGTCTTATGGCTTGGGGGTAGAAGCTGTTAAGAAGCCTTTTGGAACTAGACTTGGCGCTCCGGTACCGCTTGCCGTGCAGTAGCAGAGAGAACAGGCTATGACTAGGGTTGCTGGAGTCTTTGGCAATTTTTAGGGCCTTCCTCTGACACCGGCTGGTATAGAGGTCCTGGATGGCAGGAAGCTTGGCCCCAGTGATGAACTGGGCCGTACGCACTACCCTCTGTAGTGCCTTGCTGTCGGAGGCCGAGCAGCTGATGCAACCAGTCAGGATGCTCTTGATGGTGCAGCTGTATAACTTTTTGAGGATCTGAGGACCCATGCCAAATCTTATCAGTCTCCCGAGGGGGAATAAGCTTTGTCGTGCCCTCTTCACGACTGTCTTGGTGTGTTTAGACCATGATAGTTTATTGGTGATGTGGACACCAAGGAACTTGAAGCTCTCAACCTGCTCCACTACAACTCCGTCGATGAGAATGGGGTCGTGCTCGGTCCTCCTTTTCCTGTAGTCCACAATCATCTCCTTTGTCTTGATCACGTTGAGGGAGAGGTTGTTATCCTGGCAACACACGGCCAGGTCTCTGACCTCCTCCCTATAGGCTGTCTCATCGTTGTCAGTGATCAGGCCTACCACTGTTGTGTTGTCAGCAAACTTAATAAAGGTGTTGGAGTCGTGCTTGGCCATTCAGTCATGGGTGTACACGGAGTACAGGAGGGGACTGAGCACATCCCTGAGGGACCCCCATGTTGAGGATCAGCGTGGCAGATGTATTGTTACCTACCCTTACCACCTGGGGGCGGCCCGCCAGGAAGTCCAGGATCCAGTTGCAGAGGGAACTGTTTAGTCCCAGGGTCCTTAGGTTAGTGATGAGCTTGAGGGCACTTTGGTGTTGAACGCTGAGCTGTAGTCAATGAATAGCATTCTCACGTACAGTTGAAGTCGGAAGTTTACATACACTTAGGTTGGAGTCATTAAAACTAGTTTTTCAACCACTCCACACATTTCTCGTTAACAAACTATAGTTTTGGCAAGTCGGTTAGGACATCTACTTTGTGCATGACACAAGTAATTGTTTACAGAGATTATTTCACTTATAATTCACTGTATCACAATTGCAGTGGGTCAGAAGTTTACATACACTAAGTTGACTGTGCCTTTAAACAGCTTGGAAAATTCCAGAAAATTATGTTATGGCTTTAGAAGTTTCTGATAGGCTAATTTACATCATTTGAGTCAATTGGAGGTGTACCTGTGGATGTATTTCAAGGCCTACCTTCAAACTCAGTGCCTCATTGCTTGACATCATGGGAAAATCAAAAGAAATCAGACAAGACCTCAGAAAAAAAATGGTAGACCTCCACAAGTCTGGTTCAACCTTGGGAGCAATTTCCAAATGCCTGAAGGTACCACGTTCATCTGTACAAACAATAGTACGCAAGTATAAACACCATGGGACCACGCAGCCGTCATACCGCTCAGGAAGGAGTCGCATTCTGTCTCCTAGAGATGAACGTACTTTGGTGCGTAAAGTGCAAATCAATCCCAGAACAACAGCAAAGGACTTTGTGAAGATTCTGGAGGAAACAGGTACAAAAGTATCTATATCCACAGTAAAATGAGTCCTATATCAACATAACCTGAAAGGCCGCTCAGCAAGGAAGAAGCTACTGCTCCAAAACCGCCATAAAAAAGCCAGACTACGGTTTGCAACTGCACATGGGGACAAAGATCGTACTTTTTGGAGAAATGTAATCTGGTCTGATGAAACAAAAATAGAACTGTTTGGCCATAATGACCATTGTTATGTTTGGAGGAAAAAGGGGGCTGCTTGCAAGCCGAAGAACACCATCCCAACCATGAAGCACGGGATGGCAGCATCATGCTGTGGGGGTGCTTTGCTGCAGGAGGGACTGGTGCACTTCACAAAATAGATGGCATCATGAGGAAGGAAAATTATGTGGATAGATTGAAGCAACATCTCAAGACATCAGTCAGGAAGTTAAAGCTTGGTCGCAAATGGGTCTTCCAAATGGACAATGACCCCAAGCATACTTCTAAAGTTGTGGTAAAATGGCTTAAGGACAAAAAGTCAAGGTATTGGAGTGGCCATCACAAAGCCCTGACCTCAATCCTATAGAAAATGTGTGGGCAGAACTGAAAAAGCGTGTGCGAGCAAGGAGGCCTACAAACCAGCTCTGTCAGGAGGAATTGGCCAAAATTCACCCAACTTATTGTGGGAAGCTTGTGGAAGGCTACCCTAAACGTTTGACCCAAGTTAAACAATTTAAAGGCAATGCCACCAAATACTAATTGAGTGTAAACTTTTGACCCACTGGGAATGTGATGAAAGAAATAAAAGCTGAAATAAATCATTCTCTCTACTATTATTCTGACATTTCACATTCTTAAAATAAAGTGGTGATCCTAACTGACCTAAGATAGGGAATTTTTACTAGGATTAAATGTCAGGAATTGTGAAAAACTGAGTTTAAATGTATTTGGCTAGGTGTATGTAAACTTCCGACTTCAACTGTAGGTGTTCCTTTTGTCCAGTTGGGAAAGGGCAGTGTGGAGTGCAATAGATATTGCATCATCTGTGGATCTGTTGGGGCGGTATGCAAATTGTAGTGGGTCTAGGGTTTCTGGGATAATGGTGTTGATGTCAGCCATGACCAGCCTTTCAAAGCACTTCATGGCTACATATGTAAATTTAAGATGGCGCCGACAGAGAGGGCTGCCTCGCTTCTAGTCCGTAGGAAACTTTGCAGTATTTTGTTTTTTTATGTATTATTTCTTAAATTGTTAGCCCAGAAAATCTTAAGTGTAATTACATACAGCCGGGAAGAACTATTGGATATCAGAGCAGCTTCAACTTACCAGCACTACAACCAGGAATACAACTTTCCCGAAGCGGATCCTTTGTTCGCACCACCCAGGGCATTTGAACTGATTCCAGAGGCCGACCCAAAACAACGTCGCCGGAGGAGAAGGAGCCGGAGCGGTCTCCTTGTCAGACTTAGGAGGCGCGCACACCATCCATCGCTTCCGAGTATATTACTCGCTAATGACCAGTCCCTAGACAACAATGTGGACGAGATCAGGGCAAGGGTTGCTTTCCAGAGAGACATCAGGGATTGTAACATACTCTGTTTCACGGAAACATGGCTCTTTCGGGATACATCACGCCAACA